AATCTCGTACTCTGGTGTTTAAACATTTTTGTGTGCAATTTTAAAACCAATTAATGGTGAAGAGATGTAGTTTAGGTTCTTTTCCGTCACTGGCATTTAAATGTGAGAATTTGTCTGAATATCGTTTTATAAAAGGTTTGAAACAGTAAAGACTTGGATACTTAGCTTTCATTTCTCCTGCCTGGAGAAAATGGTTAGAATGTGACTTACCATCTTTTTTTCTCTTCTGTTTAGTTAGACTTTGGGTTGCCATACTGTTGTTGTTTTTAACTTAAAAAAAAAAAAAAATCCAAACTAATTTAGTGACCAGTTGTTTTACAAAGCAGCTGAGTCCTCCATTGATGCAACTCACCGTGTCTGGGTGCCACATTGTTTTAAACTATAGAGTGACAGGAGTTTGAATTTAGATTTAAATACAAAACATTTGCTGAGTCAGTTTTAGTTTTTTGGTTTTTTTTTTAATTGTTGGTTTTAATCTGTAAATTGTTCTCCCTGCATTAGAGCATGGAGAGTGTAAGGAGTCACATCTCGTTACAGAGACTTAATGGAGTTAACAAAATATACTGGGCGGGGGCAAGTGAGAATTCTTTTGCTTTCAACTAATTGAGAGTGAAAACTGAATTCTAAGTTTCAAGAAATTAATCTCATGTTCACATTTCTGTTGAAGTTATTTTTTGTCCTGTGGAAATCTCTTTAGTCAATGTACTCTTCCACTGAGATGACAGAAAACATTCAATTATGCGTAAAATAAAAATATACTCAACATATTCATTTTCCTTTTATTTGGGATTATGACAGATCTAGGAGTGTATACTGAAGTTAGAGAAAAAGGCAAACTTTCTTCTGCAGAGGCTCTGTCCTGCATGTTTTGGCCCCTAGTCAAGGTCTGGGAGCAATCGCAGGAGGCATAAGAAGCGTTCCCTCAGAAAGCGACTGACCTACCCCGTGCATTCTCCTAAACCACAGCGGATTCCGTGGCTGTGACTGATATTCAGAGCCCCAAAAAGGATTTGGTAAAGAAGAGTCATAAAGTTAAAAAGAGTAAAGTAATCATGTTTTCCCTTGTTTTTTTTTTTTTTAACGTTCAGAATTTATGATGTCAAATTCTATTAGGATGAAAACATGAGATGATTATGTGAGGAAGCCAATTTTGAACGTGAAGATAGTTTTTAACATAATGTATTTGACAAGCAGCCCCCGCTTTTATTGACTAAATTTGAGTATGGTTTGGTTTATGAATCCCCAATTCCTAAGGAAATGATTTTAAACAAATTGTGGGACATGTGTACACAAATTTATGACTTGGCTCTGGCAGGGAAGAATGGTCTCTCCGAAAGAATAAAATCCTAGGGGTTATAAATGGGTCAAAAAGAATTAGATTTTTTATTTATACTTCAGAAATGTAATCAAGTGAATGAAATGGTTTCATATACATTTTTACATCCAACAGCAGTGACACACTGTTCATACATTAATTCTATAGGAAAATGTACATCCTTCTTTTTTTGCTAAGTAAGATCTGCCAAGTGTTCATGGACAAAACACCTTTCATTGCAACCTGAACTAGTGGAATCACAAGGGTAAGCCATGTTCCTTTCAATAGCTTTATGGCATTAATAAAGCTATTGTCCAAATGCGTGTTAATATTGGCATGTGCAGGATGAAATCTCACAGATTCTTCAAAATGTGAACGCCCAGTTTGAGAACTTTACAAAACAGTGTCATGGATTTTGTGACTGAATCTGCCCAGGGACATTAAAGTCCAGGATGGTTTATTTTAAGTGTACTTCTGAGGCTCTATTCCTAGCTGACTCTTCTTCGATTCCCTAATCACAAAGAAATGCATTCTTATGAAGTTAAGCAGCTGTAGACACAGAATGCTGATGACATTTTCTCCGTATCTGAGTTATCTAAAGAAAACCCAGGTAGTGGTAATTCTACCAAATACTTGTAACATTCACATGAAATTTTAATTGATTTTCAAACAGTACAACTGCGCCATGAATCCAACCACATAGAATATAAGCCTTAAGCCCACTAGGTTTAAGCAATTGTGTCTTTGTAGACTAAAACTATGTAAAATAAAATCTGATAACTCCCTGGTGTTAGAGGTAGACAGTTTTCTTTCAAATCCTAGGTTTGGTCCTTTATTTTATTCAGCAGTGAAAGCCATGAATACAGAACGAATAACAGCTGTTACAATTCTCAACCATGACTTCTAATGTCAGAGAATTCAAAGTCTGAACATAGTACACAGTAATGAAAAGTATCAAAAATTAGTTTACCTCAAAAAAGATAAATAAAACAGGTATATTCCACCAATACATAAACAGATGTTTGTGCTACAGTTAAAATTTGCTGTATACAAAAGATCATAGTCCCCATAATCAGCTTATGATAGAAGCAAGAATACATGAGCCATTTAAATTGTCAGACATTATGCTTTATAAGGTATGCACAGAAGTTCAAGCAATAAATACATACATTAGTTCAAAGCCTTACAATAGCTACGCAAAGCAGATGCAGAAAAGCAGATTTGCTATTCCTAGCAAGCAATGATATAAGAGTAAAAATTCATGAAATGCATTAAAGCAACATTTTTCTTAGAAAAAGTCTGGTCATTTATGGGTCCACCAACATTTTTACATAATATGCACAATTATCAAAATACAGACCAAGCATTTCAGAAAACTCCAAAAAACCTAAAATCTATTTTCAAAGCAATTGCAGTTTTGGAGGTTTTTCTGGTATAATGTGCAAGCAGCTATTTTTTAAAATTGTATTCATATAAAACCCATGCAAAACTCTACAGGTATATGCATTCTGTGGCTGAGACTTCCTTTCAAACGTTTTGTAACTGAGGTATGCATACTTTAGCATCGTAGTCTTAGGCCACCCTCCCGATAGTACAGCTCTCACAGTTACTTTCAGTCCATCAAAGCCTTTTGAACATGCACCTGAAAGACCCATTTTCCCTTCAGATAATCCTTACAGTAGGATCCTAGATGACTGAAAACCATCCTTCACAATACCAATCTTTCTTCTGATACCATATCGGAAACTTCCCGTCCGTTGATCATGACCCAAAGACAAACATAATGAAAAGTAGCAGTTACTGTGACGTTCTCACGTTTCATGCAATCTGCCATAATTGTTCTAATTTTTTTTCTTTTTTTTTCTTTTTTTTTTCTTTTTTTTTTGCAGAGGTAGAAGCTTTCAGAAAGCCTTTTGGGTATGTGGGAAAACCCTTTTGAAAGCCGTTATGTCCTTTTATTTGGTGTGATAGATGACTGGGTATCTCTCTAACTCTATTTGCTGACTTCAGCAAAGAATAAATGATGAGCTTAGTTTGCAAGAACCGGCTCCATCACATGGAACTGGTACGTATGTTAAGCTCTAGCAGCCACCTTCTGTCAAAACTGTTTGTAAAGCAATAACCATAATCAGGTTATGAGGTCCCTTGGTTGGGGGAAAAAGTATTATCAAGACTTGGCACAGCACATGAAAAGCAACACGTAAAGTTTCTAGGTTTTAAGCAAACATCTGACTATGCTATTTTCAACTACACCATAACGCGTTATCATAGTTTTGGGATTTGGAGTTGTCAAGAAAACCAGCGTTCCAACAATTTGGCCTGTGCAAGTCTTTGAAAGGGAGCATATTGTTAGTGTTAATATCCCGTATAAGCAGAGGCAGAATTATATGTAACTTTGGTTTGACTGAAAATAAATACCATGGACTACAATTGCTATAATCTTTGCTTTCAGTGTAAAAACTCAGCTAGATCACTTTAAAATCAATATGAAATTAATTTTTGGCTTTACTAGACCTTTTATGTTTGGTTCCTACTTTTGTTTTTTTTCATTATAACTTAAGACTATAAAAAATAGTACACAACAAAGATTCAGACCATACACGTCATCTTCTAACAACATGTATTCACCACCGAAAGTAAGTGACTGGATGGGGGAAAACAAAAACACAATGTACTATATATATAACAATATGCAATCTGCATTTGCATCAAGTACATAATCGTTTTGGTCAGTGATCCACATTTGTTGCTTTCTAGCACATCATAACGTCCACTGCGGATTTTGTCCTCACCTCTGTCTTTATGAAAGCAAATCTTCATTGCGTTTAGATGGACTTTTGGCCTCAGAAGATTACTCTGTGACTGAATTAACTTTTTAGTTGTGGTTTTGTCATATTCGATTCTTTGTTTAGGGCTAAATGAAAAGATCCCAGAGGTCATCAGAAAACAGCAGGTAGTTCATGGAAAAGGTTCCTTTGTACTAATTGAAGTTACAGAAGGCTGACCAAAGCATGTGGCTGCTTCTGTCCTTGAGCTCTTGGCCATGGTTAGAGTTGGCTTTGGTTTGCAGCTGTAGCCTTTGACTGTGTTTGCAGGTAGACAAAGCTTTATCACAAGGAGGTAAAGAGTACAGTTGTAAGATCTATGCAGATATGCAAATGTTTCTATGGTGCTTGCACAGATAATGTTAGCTTAGGATTGCACTTTACATCTTAACACTAACAGCACAGACTGGAAGCCTAAGGTTTTAGATGGTCGCAACAGTCTAATTACTGTGTTTTGTAATAACTAACTTATGTCATTTACAGTTGGTGGCACCAACATAAAAAACTAATGTTCTGTTGTTTAAAATTCAGCTAGATACAAGCAGTGACACTAATTTCTGATACTACTCCTGTGCAAATTAAAAACAATAGCAACAAGTTGAACTTGACCAGCAATTGTTTCTAACATTACAACTACTGAATGCTGGAAAATTCACATTAATGAAACTAACACTATTTTTGGCAGTATATGAGGCGCGTTTGCTTTCTACAGGACATGTATCCTCATATTCAGTCATTTCATGAACCCTTAAGAGCCACATTTTTTAAATGGGCAAAGCCATTATAGAAAGAAAGTTTATTTTTTTTTCAAGAAAAATCAGTTTTTGTCTTTTTTTTCTAAAAAAAAAAAGAGAGAGATT